GACTGGAACAGCACATCAGCAGAGAACTACCAGAAGTCCAGGCTGGGTTTAGAAGGGGTCGTGATGTTAGGAATATTGTAGTTAATGTTAGATGGAATTTAGCTGAAAGCAGCAAATACCAGAGGAATGTCTATCTGGGTTTCATTGATTATGCAAGGGCGTTTGACTGTGTGGATCATAAACTGTGGCTGACTCTGAGAAGAATGAGAATCCTAGAACACTTGCTCTTGCTAACGCGAAACCTATACTTGGGCCAAGAGGCAGCCGTCAGAACAGAGCAAGGAAACACTGCATGGTTCAAAATTAGGAAGGGTGTACGACAGGGATATGTCCTAATTCCTTACCTTTTCAACCTGTACGCTGAACAGATTATCCGGGAGGCTAGGCTCTATGAGGAGAACTGTGGCGTCAGGATTGGTGGAAGATTTGTCAACAATCTGGGTTATGCAGGTAACAACCCTGCTTGCTGAAACTGAGGAGGACCTGAAACGCTTGTGCAGAGGGCCAAGGACTGCAGCCTCCAATATGGACTGAGGCTCAATGTCAAGAAGACAAAGATTCTACCACTGGGCCAACTGGCAGCATCAGGATGGATGGTGGAGAGAACAAGATTGTTCACAGCTTTAGTTTGCTTGGCTCAACAGTCAATACTCTCGGCACCAGCAGCCAGGAAATTAAAAGGCGTACTGCCATGGGAAAGTTGGCTGTTAGGGACCTCTCCAAAGTACTGAAGAGCAATGGTGTCTCTCTGGAGACCAAGGTGCATCTGATACAGGCCATGGTCTTTGCAATCACTTGTTATATATCAGAGAGCTGGACAATGATTAGGGAGGATAGGAGGAGAATTGATGCCTTTGAGCTGTGGTTCTGGAGAAGAGTACTGATTGTACCATGGACTGCTAAGAAAACAAACTGATTTATCCTGGAGAGGGTTAAACCGGGCTGCTCCTTGGAGGCAAGGATTCTGGGGCTTCATCTGACATACTTTGGACACGTTGTAAGGAGGGACCCAGTCCTTGGAGAGGGACATCATGCTTGGGAGGCTGGAGGGACAGCGCAGGAGGGGAAGACCCCTGTTTGAGGTGGACTGATTCAGTGACGGGGGTAATTGGGATGGACGTGTCAGAGACAGTGCTATTGGCACAGGATAAAGCAGAGTTTAGGCCTGTTGTACATAGGGTCGCTATGAGTCACAAGCAACCTGAAGGCACATAACAACAATGCAAGCATTGTGCTTATGTATTGTTTATGTCTGTTACATATTGTTATTTATTGTTTATTATGTATGTTATTTGTGTGTGTGCCTATGTGGGTGCTTTACACACAAAAGTCACCTTGGAATTCAAAGTAAGTATTTTGGAGGGTAATCTGGTACCAGATATTAACATTTTAAATATAAAATTCTTCAGCTCAAGAAATTATACTCAGTAGTTTATTTATATTGCAGTAATTTAATGCATACAAGCAAACCTGCATTTATGTGTGAGATCTAAATAAGGCAAAGGTGATATTTGAATACAGAAGAAAGAACAATGAGATAACTTAGAATGTATGGCAAATGTCTGGGAAGACTAGCAAAAAGTAACAACCAGAACAGAAACCCTAAATTAGGCATTAAAAAACAAAAATAGCAGAGCTGAATGTCAGAGAGGTAGAAGGGACCAAATCAAAGAGACGTTTTGTAGGTCACTGTAAAGAATTTGGCTCATCCTTTGAAATGGATCACAGTCGAGGGTACCTGATAGTGTGAAAGAAAAATGTGGTACAAAATTAAAAATTATACAGACAGACAAGGCTTACAGAGACAGACAGAATCTTACAATTATGGTCCTTAATGACCCTTCATGCCTATAACTCAATCATCAGCCCATAACTTAATTTCCAGCCAAACAATAGGTAAGGCTGTACTTCTTTAGAACAATTAACCACACAAGAACAAAAGCACAGCATCTGCTCATTGTTACCGAAAAGCCGGAAGGGTTAGGAGAGGATGAAAGAAAATGGGAAACAATGGGGTTAATTGGGAAGGGTACTGTTCCAATGTAGGGGTTTTAATTAATGTCAGAAAACAGAGTATTTAGGAATAGTTGACTCAAAACCTAACATGCTCCATGAACCTTCTGATAAACTACTATTAAAAAAGATTTTGGTTTAGCTAGACTTTCTTATCTTACCTTCTAATTGCAAACATTTCCATTTAATCATAAACTTGACATAAAGTGCTTAACTTCGAGAGAATTAAACTTCTATTCATGAATGAGTCTAACCTGGGAGATAATAACTTGGTATTTACAAATCCTTTAAAACTTCCATAGGAACTTTTCTTGTGCAGTGGGTTAAAATAGTTGGGCTGCTAATTAAAAGGCGGATGGTTCAAATCTACTAATGATTTCACAGGTGAAAGATGAGGTAGTTGGTTTTCATAAAAATTTAGTGTTAGAAGTCTTGAGTAGTTCTACTTTGTTGTTCTGGGTTACTGTACACCAGAGGGTTCGTGGTTTATTTTTTAAAAATAGAATAATATGTAGAGTAAAATACAACAAATTTTAGTGAGCTGACTGGCAGAACTGAGACTATAAATAAGAGAAAAGCAGCAGGGGTGAGAAAAACGCGGGAGAGGTAGTGGCCACACTTGTCAAATCCACGTGTTTCACAATTAAACAAAACAAAAAGGGAAAAACAGAAAACAACCTTTCAATGACTAATTATATTTCATTTTCTTGATCTGTAAGACAAGGATCCAATCCAACCGTTGGGTCTATTCTGACTCATAGTGACTCTCTGCTTGGATTCTGAGTTTGTAAATCTTTACGACTGCTTACTTCTCTCCATTAGTGGATAAGAACTGTTGATCTTTTGGTTAATAGTACAACTCTTGCAAACTGACTTGTGAATTGTACAACCTATATAAATTAAGTAATTCTTTCTCTCAGAACACATTTTGGGTAATCTTTATAGTACTTAACAGTTTCCGAGTAATTAAAGACTGTAATGTAGCAGGTACGACTGAAAAAACTAGCAAGAAAGGTGTACGATTTAGAAAGATCTACGAGCACAATAAAAAAAAAATTATCATTAGGCATTTATCTGGATGTTTGCTCTCAAGCTAGCAGACACATAAATGGACAAGACAGTGACATGTGTTGACCTGCAGTAAAATAAAAATTTTACAAGAATAACAAGTGCTAATTAACTGCCCTAAGAGGAAGTTGATCTTGAACACAAAGGTCAAGGTATTGGTAATATTTTTTTAAAGTATACAGAAGAATCTTAGTATCTTTTAATGCCATGAAGCTATCAAGTACCTTTAGGAAACACTTTTTGTTGTGCACCACTAAACCGGAACTGATCTGTTAGTGGGTTTTGCAGTGTTGGCAGCAATCCCAAAGTCATACAGTTTGAATGCACCTGCTCCAAAGGAGGACAGAAAATCTCCTCCCATGCAAATGAAAAACCTCAGAAAACTTGCTGGAGTGTCAGGTATGAATTGGTTCTGACTCGATAGCACATTAACAAGAAGCCATCAGAGCTCCCTGGTGTTATATGCTGTCAACTGTGACTCATAATGACCCTATGCACAACAGCTCTGAATCCTGTCCTATCCTAAGCCAATCTGTCTTCAACACATATATCCCCAGTTACTGTGTAAAATCATCTTACCCAGAGGCTTCCTCTCTTGCACTGTCCCTTCTTCACCCTTCCGAGCATGATACCCTTCTTCAAGTACTCGCTCATCCTGGCAATATGCTCAAAAGTATGCAAAATGGAGGTTCAAAAATCCTTGGCTCCAAGGAGCAACCTGGTATCACCCTCTCCAGGACAGATCTGTTTTGTTTTCTTGGCAGTCTATGGAAAGTTCAATGCTCTTCAGCACCTCAATTCAAAGGCATCAATAATTCTGTGTTCCTTAGTCACTGGTTAGCTCTCTTGAGGCAAGTAATTGCAAAGACTATGGCCTGGATCAGGTAAATCTTAGTCTCTAGCCTGACATCGTTGCTCTTTAGCACCCTGGAGATATCTCTGATATCTTTTGATTTCCTGACAGATGCTACAATTGTTTCCTTTGAGAACTATGAATAAAAGTACACTTCAAGTATACTAAAGAATAACCATTGTGCTGCTAACCAACCATTTTGGATGTTCAAAATGACCAAGGGAGAAAGGATAATTTTTCTCCCACGCAATTTACAGTCTTGGAAAACGCAATGGAGGGACAGCTATTCATTAGTTCAGGCTCAATATGTAAAAAGTAGTTTTATTTTGTCTCATAGCATTCAACACTACTTACCTGTGCACTTATACAGCATTCCTGTCATGGTTCCAGCTGCTACTGTGTTGAGGTCATCTTCTGCACCTCGAGTTTTCTCAATGACAACACCAAATGCACTATAGAGTAGAGCTATTAAGGAAATGGAACTGATCAGTGATTAGACATCCAGACGGCAATTAGATTTAAATGAACTTATCCTATAGACACTAACTTGTAAACACTCAAAGATGTATCAGAAATTATCAATGGGGCACTATAATATTAAATCAGGCAATAAATAAAATGCCTATCATAAAAATGTTGATTCAGGGAGATCTGGTGACCTAATGGCAAGAAGCTGCACTGCAATCCCAGAGGCAAATGGTTCGAATCCACCAGATGCTCTGTTGGGAAAGAAGGGACAATCTCTTCCTGTACCAGTCAGATCTGATTTGAAGGCACACAGACACACAAAAATAATAGTAACATTAAAAAAAAAATTGATTCAGAAACGGACTTTCCATATAATGCATACGAAATACTCAAAAGCCAAAACAGGAAGTGCTATTTTCACTAATACAGAAATGACTCATGTATGTGTGAGCACATGACTCTGACCAGCTAAGCAAAAAAACCTCCAAAACAAGTCTAGAATGATTCTGAAGGAACATGAACAGAAGCTATTCCTGAAGAGTTTCAAGAATATTTTTAGTTTGCACTTATATTTTAACCATAGTAGCTGTACTCTGAATTAAAAATACTATTTAGTACAAATATACTTTGTAAACAGGACTTGTAAAAATGTGAAGTTTGACTATCCTGTTGTTGTTATGTGCCATCGAGTCGCTTGCGACTCATAGCAACCCTATGTACAACAGCCCTAAACTCTGCTGTCCTGTGCCAATCGCACCGTCTCCGACACTCCCATCCGATTATCCCAGTCACTGAATCAATCCACCTCATAGAGGGCCTTCCCCTCCTGCGTGGTCCCTCCACCCTTCCAAGCATGATGTGCTTCTCCAAGGACCGGTCTTTCCTCACAACATGTCCAAAGTATGTTAGACGGAGCCTCAGAATCCTTGCCTCCAAGGAGCCACCCGGTTTAACCCTTTCCAGGATGAATCTGTTTGTTTTTCTAGCAGACCATGGTATTCTCAACACTCTTCCAGCACCACAGCTCAAAGGCATCAATTCTCCTTCTATCCTCTTTGGTCATTGTCCAGCTCTCTGATGCATAACATGGCCTGTATCAAACGCACCTTAGTCTCCAGAGAGACACCACTGCTCTTCAGTACTTTGGAGAGGTCCCTAACAGCAAACGTTCCCATGGCAGTATACCTTTTAATTTCCTGGCTACTGGTGCCAAGACTGTTGACTGTGGAGCCAAGCAAACTAAAGCTGTGTACAATCTCAATCTCTTCACCATCCATCCTGATGTTGCCAATTGGTCCAGTGGTAAGAATCTTTGTCTTCGGGACATTGAGCCTCAATCCATATTGGAGGCTGCAGTCCTTGACCGTCTGCACAGGTGCTTCAGTTTCAGCCAGCAGGGCTGTGGCATCTGCATAACGCAGATTGTTGATAGATCGTCCACCAATCTTGACCCCACATTTCTCCTCATAGAGCCCAGCCTCCCGGATAATCTGTTCTGCATATAGGTTAAAAAGGTATGGACATAGGATACATCCCAGGTGTACGCCCTTCCCAATTTTGAACCATGCAGTGTTCCCTTGCTCTGTTCTGATGACTGCCTCCTGGTCCAAGTATAGGTTTTGCATTCGCATGATCAAGTGTTCTGGGATTCCCATTCTTCTCAGAATCAGCCACAGTTTGTTATGATCCACACAGTCAAATGCCTTTGCATAGTCAATGAAACACAGATAGACATTCCTCTGGTATTCTCTGCTTTCAGCTAAGATCCATCTAACATCAGCTACAATATCCCTAGTACCACAACCCCTTCTAAACCGAGCCTGGACTTCTGGTAGTTCTCTGCTGATGTGCTGTTCCAGTTGTTTTTGGATAATCTTCAGTAAAATCTTGCTTGCTTGTGAAATCAGTGAGATTGTTCTATAGTTTCCACACTCTGGCGGGTCACCTTTCTTTGGGATAGGAACAAATATAGATCTCTTCCAGTCAGCTGGCCAAGTGGTTGTTCTCAAGATATCTTGGCACAACTTGGTGAGCACAACCAGGGCAGCATCTGTTAGCTGAAATGTCCTGGTGCCTTATTTTTTGCCATTTCCTTGAAAGCAGCCTGAACTACTTCTTTCATCACCATAGACTCTTGCTCATATGTTGTTTCATGAAATTCTTCTGTGTCTGCCAATTCCTTTCGATACAGTGACTCAGTGTATTTTTTCCATCTTCTAATATTTCCTGGATCGTTTAACATTCTGCCGAAAGGATCCTTGATTATAGAAACTCGAGGTCTGAATGTGTTCTTCAGTTCCTTGAGCTTAAGAAATGATGAGCGAGTTCAGCCCTTTTGATTTTCTGACTCCAACTCCTTGAACATTTCATTGTAATATTTTGCTTTGTCATCCCGTGCTGCCTTTTGAAATCTTCTATTCAACTCTTTAGTGTCTTCAATTCTTCCTTGTGCTTTGGTTTCCCTGCGCTCCAGTGCAATTTTCAGAGTCTCTTCTGACATCCATTTTGGTCTTCACTTCCTCTTCTGTCTTTGCAATGACCGTTTGCACTCTTCCTGGATGATACCCTTGATATCCTCCCACAACTCATCTGGTCTTCGCTCATTAGTGTTCAAGGCCTCAAACCTGTTCCTGAGATGGTTCTGAAATTCCGGTGGGATAGACTCAAAGTCTTATTTTGGTTGCTTTGGATTTGGTTTAATTTTCCTCAGGTTCAGCTTGAATTTGCATATGAGTAGTTGGTGGTGTGTTCCACAATCAGCTCCTGGCCTAGTTTTCACAGCTGATATCGAGCTTCTCCAGCAGTTCTTTCCACAGATGTAATCGATCTGATTCCTATGCATACCATCTGGTGAAATCCAAGTATATAACCTGCGTTTATGTCTCTTAAAAAATGTATTTGCTATGAATAAGTCATTGATTGTGCAAAATTCGATCATTGTCTCTCTAGCTGCATTTCTGTCACCGAGTTCATGTTTTCCAACTACTGAATCTTCTTCTCTGTTCCCAACTTTTGTATTCCAGTCACCCATTATTATCAATGCATTTGATTGCATGTTGATCGATCTCCGATTGTAAAAGTTGGTAAAAATCTTCTATATCCTCTTCCTTGGCTCTGGTTGTTGGTGCATATATCTGAATGATAGTGGTATTCACTGGACTTCCTTTATGCGAATGGATATTATCCTGTCATTGACAATATTGTACTTCAAGATGGATCTAGCAATGACTTTTTTAAGTATGAAAGCAACTCCATTTTTCCTCACCTTTTCTTCTGGAATCACAGAACCCAAGGAAGCTTCATATATAAGCTATTAGATCAAGGGCTGGTCAATGGGAGATAGATGTGAAGGGAGTGGGTAGAAGTGGATGGGTATCCTAGTGGATGGTGGAGCAGGGAAATAAGTCGGTAAAGACACGTGTGCCAAAGGTAGGGACAACAATAACACTAATTTGTAACTGCACAATAAGGAATATGCCTTTAACTTGCTGGTCTGTCTGATACTTCTCTAAATCTGAACATTCACATTAAGACAGACTAGGAAGAAGGACTGGCCATCCACTTCTGAAATAGCAGGCCTGTGAAAACGCTATGTACAACAGAACACATGTAGATAACAGAAAGGGCAACTGAGATTGAGCTTTCAAGCATGGAAATACAAAGGAGGAGGAACAGTTGTAAGCAGACACTAGTGATTGGGACATGGAATGTGAGAACCATGAATGCAGGAAAATTAGATATTGTTAAGGAAGAAATGGAACGCATAAATACTGACATACTAGGCATTAGTGAGATGAGATGGACTGGCATGGGGCATTTTGAGTCGGATGAAAAAACTATCCTAGCATCTCTAAAATTATCAGCAATACATTAAATTTTGTCATCAAAATTATCGCTACAGTGAACCCCTAACAAATGATACCACACTCTTAAAAAGTATTTTTTGTTGTGACATTTTGTACTTCTGTAACAACTCATCTTGTTTCAACTTATTATCAACTGGATGAGCAAGAACACTGTGTGTGTCTGATCATATTACAAGGGAACACAAAGGATAAATACCCATCCCAGTTTGTTCAAGGTTAAGGGATTTCCTGGGATGCTGAACATTCAGTTCAAAAAGCCCAGAAAGTCCAAGAGAGATGAAGATACAGAAACAAGATAAAAACAGGTAAGGTACAGAAACAAAAAAGAACAGGAAGATGACTGTGAGGCTGAGGGAATGCTGGTGTGAGTAATATACTCAAGTAAGATGCAAAAGGCTAAGATGTACTGCTTCCAAATCCTGTGACAAGGCCAAGACCCTAAAGACCACAGGAGAGGCTTCTTCTATCTTTTCACTGATCTACTGAATGATAAGATTTTTCAGACATGCAACTAACCTCGCAAAGAACACCTGGGTCTATGAAGCACATATGGGATTACGAGTTATGAAGTAATCAAAAGAAACGACACATACAAAGGTATTAAGATGACTTATGTACTCTCAAAAACCCTCTCATTGCCACAGTGGTAACTTACTAATAGCTGAGTACTCTTCACAGGTTTTATAGGATGTAAATCATGCAGGAGAAGAATGCTCATTTTAAGTACTGGTAAAATAGTCTTTACCTTTTGCCTGGAAGGTAAAGGTTTTTATTATAAACCTAAAAAGGGCCGTGTGCAACTTGACCATTTAGTGCAGGAAATCGACTTTGATAAAGAGAGGTATGAGCAAAAGAGCAGGGACATTAATAGATCAAGAGGGCTGGATTTAATCAATTATCTTTCATTATTGGATTCTGAACTTTTTCTTTGATGCAGCTTCAATTATCTTTCATTCAATGAAAACTTTCGCTTTGCCATTAACAGAAGAGTATCTGGTTTTTAAAAAGATTGAGACAGATTATTAGCCATTGTGGATCACAGCACAACTCGACATTTCTATTCTGTCCTACAGGCTACGGTAAGTCAGAATTTTGGACTTGACATCAAGCTTTATCTAAATGAACAGGAGTCCTGGTGGCAGAGTTGTTATGCAATTCAAACCTAACAGCTTTAGTTTGCTTGGCTCCATAATCAACACTCTCAGCACCAGCAGCCAGGAATTAAAAGACTTATTACACTGGGGAAGTCTGCTGTCAGAGACCTCCCCAAAGTACTAGGGAGCAATGATGTCAGTCTGGAGACTAAGGTATGCCTGATTCATGTCATGGTCTTTGCAATTACTTGCTATACTATACATGAGAGAGCTGGACAATGACTAGGGATGAGAGAAGAGAACTGATGCCTTTGAGCTGTGGTGTTGGAGAAGGGTATTGAATATACCATGGACCACCAAGGGAACTGTTTTGTCCCGGAGAGGGTGAAACCAGGCTGTTCCTTGGAGGCAAGGATTCTGAAGCTTCATGTGACATACTCTGGACACGGTGCAAGGAGGGACCAGTCCTTGGAGAGGGACATCATGCTTGGGAGGGTGGAGACACAGCACAGGAGAGGAAGACCCTCGATGAGATGAATTGATTCAGTGACTGGGGTAATTGGGTGGGCATATCAGAGACAGTGAGATTGGTAAAGGTTATAGCAGGGTATAGGGCTGTTGTACACAGGGTCACTATGAGTTGCAGGTTACTGGCAGCACACAACAATAATAACGAGCTATTTGGTGGGAGCAAGATGTGGCAATTTGTTTCCATAAGAATTTAAAGCTGTGGAAACCCTATGAGGTAGTTTTACTCTGCCAAGGAGCCCTCCTGGTGGTGCAGTGATTAAGAGCTCAACTAGGAAAGGTTGATGGCTTGAGCTCCTCCATGGGAAAAAGATGTTGACAGCTTCCAGATTTACAACCTTGGAAACCTGATGGGGTGGATCTATACTACAAGATCAAATGAACAATGGTTTGGTTTTGACTTTTAGTATCTGGAATTAAGTATTCCATAGTCTTTCCTGAGTAGCATCTACACTAGTCACCGGAGCAGAATGAAACATAGTATTTTTGTAATATTTATATTCTTTCCTTGCATTGGCAATTTATTATTAAGTGAGAATTTTACTTACCAAGAGAACCAAGAGTATTAGCCCAAAGTGCCCCTTGCCTGGTCACCATATTCAAAATTCTAGCAGGGCAAAAACAACAAGAACCTATATTTACAATGATTATTTTTACAAAGTTTTGGTGTTTGGGCTTTTTTAAATTAAAGACACCTTAATAATAACTATTTAAAACACATTAACTACAAATGCTACATTTATTTCACTATCCCTTCACAATTTACCATATGGCTACTAAACACAGTGTAATTGACAGGTTAAAATTATCAACATTTTTTGGTAATAGCTGAGAAAAAGTCTCATTATACAATATAGTAAAACCAGGAAAGAAACCAGTCAGAAAAAGAAAGCGTAAATATTTTTCACTAAAAAAATGACAGAAAAGTGTGAAGTATCTTGTGAAAGGCAGAAAATTTGAGACCTGTAAAAACAAGACGGAATCAAGTTCTAGCTTTCATAGGTTTCAATGTATGTGAAAGTTCTTAAGTTTTATACACGATGGTTAAAAAGTTTACAAAAAACACCCCAATGTTGCTAATTTTTCTTTTTTGGGAAGGAAGCATACTCTTAGAATATTATGTATAAACAGTTTAGAATATGAAAGCAGACAATAAAGACAATCAATAAAAGCCACTCAATAAATACAGAAAACCACAATCTACATCTGTTTCCAAAGTGAACACTTTTCAAGGAAGCAGGGTTGCACCAGTGTCAGATGACATGAAAACAGTGGCCAAGGCAATCAGATGAGAAGATGAAAGATTACTCTTCCAGATGTAATAGCATCAGAGGGATGGGTATCTCCTGAAAGCTGACTGGTGCTGGAACAGTAAAACAACAGTTTACTCATTCTCTAACCTAACAGGAAATTCTATTTCTACATTTAAAAAGTATAATGAAAAGTACACTATTTCTTTTTCTTTCAAAACAGCAAAAATTTTATATTTGAGATTTTTTAGAAATATAACTGTTTGCTACATTTAAGGAAATTACGCTTTCAAAACATGAGCACAGTATAAGGACAAATACTGCACAGGCGACATCACTGTAAAAACAGAAGGACAACCACCAAAACATGTATGTGGACCTAAGGGGGAAAAGAGTGGGAAACAGAGGGGTATGGACGGACAAGGGAAAATGACAGGGTCACGCTATTTGGTGGGGGGAGGGGATGAGGTAAAGGAAATGGGAAAGGTCTGGTGGGGACCTGGAAAGATAGGACAATGGTGGGCAAGGCTCGATGATGATCAATTTTATAAAACACAATGGATGGGAACGATTGTATGAAACAGAATGTGAATGAAGGACTGTGTGAAATATGATGTATATGAACCTTGTATGCAAATCAATATAAAATAAAGAAGTATGAGCACAGGGCATATCATAAAGCAGATATGAAGAGGAATGTTTATTGGATTAAATAATGTTCTTCTTGATGTTATTAGAGTATACAGTTTCTAGTGCTACATATTTATGTATCTTTTCCTTTCAAAATACTATTTTTCGTTTGTACCTTGCTTTAGAAATTCTTAAATTTTCATTCATGTATTGCTGGTAGCATTGCAAAATGAGCAAGTTCTTTGCAAGGCAATTTGGTAGCACTATCTATTAGTCCCCACTTTGTTTAATTCTTCAGTAAGTCTTAAAAGGTGTAGTTTACACCTTTTTTATTAAGATCACAAAAAAGAAGTGATGAAGCTAAGATTTGAAGCCTCAACTCTTTTCCCTATGATATGCTTTTTCCATGTCTAGAAAGATAAACATTATAAAAAATGTTAAGCTACATTTAAAAGTTTGATTTGAAAAAAGAAAGCCAATTCAGTTCCCTCCAAAGACAGTAAGAATTATTACTGTGTTAAGAATAAAAGCTTGCTTCCAACCAAGAGAAGCCCTGGACCAGATGGTTTTACAAGTGAATTTTATCAAACATTCAGAGAAGAACTGTTACCAATTCTACATAAATTATTTCAGAAAATAGAAGACGATGGAACCCTCCCAGATTCATTCTATGAAGCAAACATATCTTTGATACCAAAGCCAGGAAAAGACACCACAAAAATAGAAAACTATAGGCCAATATCTCTCATGAACATTGATGCAAAAATAATGAATAATATACTGGCAAATAGAATCCAACCACATATTAAAAAAAATAATTCACCATGACCAACTGGAATTCATATTAGGTATGAAAGGATGGTTCAACATAAGGAAGAAAACAATGTAATTCATCACATTAACAAGGCAAAGAACAAGAACCATATGGTCCTATCAATTGATGCAGAAAAAGCCTTTGATAAAATCCAACACCCTTTCCTGATTAAAGCACTCAACAAAACAGGATTAGAGGGGAATTTCTTCAACAAAGTAAAAAGTATTTATGAAAACCCAAGAGCCAACATTGTTCTTAACGGAGAGAGGTTAAAGGCATTCCCTTTAAGAACACGAGCTAGACAAGGATGCCCACTATCACCTCACGTATTCAATATTGTTTTGGAAGTCTTAGCAATAGCAGTAAGACAAGAGAAGGGAATAAAAGGTATCCAAATAGGCAACGAGGAGGTAAAATTATCCCTCTATGCCGATGACATGATAGTATACTTAGAAAAACCCTAAGGACTCAGCAAGAAAACTCTTGGACACAGTGCACCAATTTAGCAAAGTGGCAGGATACAAGATCAACATACAAAAATCAGTTGGATTTCTCTACAGTGACAGAGACAAAGAGAATACAGAGCCAAAACTAAGAAAAACAATACCTTTCACAATAGCTAATCACAAGATGAAATACTTGGGAATAAATTTAACCAGAAG